TCAATTCTCGTCTCATCGCCAACAACTGGTGTTCATAATCTTCTAGACTCGGTGAGCGTGTCATTTACGACTAAAACGGCGCTTGACCAGTCAACTGTGTCTTCCAGTGATCCTGTGTGGAACGATTGACGAGCTCCGTGACTGATCGCCACTGCCGCTCCCGTCAAGACCACCTGTGCTCGGAACAGTGACCTGTGCGAACAAGCTCCCTAAGCCGTCGACCTTAGAAGACCTTGTACGACCATTCTTCTCATCTCCCGAGATCGAGACTCCCTGTGTCAGTTTCCTGTGGCCGAGCGATCTAGTACTCTACTGTTTCTCATCGGTGCCAACCTTATAGCATTGTAAACATCTCTTTTCTCACATGCTAGCGTACATAAGGTATCCCTAGTTTCTTCAGCACAAAACCATCATGTTGAACATATAATTCTAAATTTGCGTTCATTCATACTCTTTCATGCTTTCCATTATGATGTGTTTAAAAAGTAAGCGACATTTCTAGTGGCTGAGAATTGCCCTGTTGTGCAAGAAGGCTTCCTGTGATAAAAGAATGTGAATATGATTGATGAAGGCGTTAATAATTCCGAAAAAAATATTTAAAACGAAGTTTGTTCATGGCAATTCTTGTGCTCGCCCTCGCAGGTTTGGAGGGCGCGCTCCTCCTTGGGCGTCCCTGCCTTGCCCTTCGGCACCCCCTACCCTACTTCCGCTGAAATAAAGTATAAATCTGCGACAAGCTCCACTCCAGCCCTCCTTCGAGAGAACCCACCAGTGCCTTCCCGCCTCTGCCATCTATCCAGCAGTGAGGATAACGCCTCCACTACGTCCCAGTCCTCCTCCTCTTTCCCCACTTTCTAGACGGGAAAATGTGTTGGTGAGTATCTCTCTTGCTCTTGCTACGTGGTCTGATGCGATGTTGATACAGCTTAATTACTCAATGGAAGGTGTGACGATTTCTCTCTATGTATCTGCAGTATATATTCACATCCAGTGTACCGCACACAGAAGTAGGTACACACACGCACGTAAACAAGCAAACAGCTAAATGGTATGATCTCTAACTATTCATTTATTCATGCGTATGTTTATTTATGTGTATACATATGCGTGCGTATGATCTTGCTGACACTTCAAAGGGCAGAGGCACTCTCGCTGCACATGCATTTAGCGGCAATCTCAAGCACGCAAGCAATGAGAGGCGAGAGACAGGGAGGATTAAGGGCGTGGAAGAGGACGCGCCGTCGACCCGAAAATCCGTCTGTGAAATCCGGGTTTAATCCCAGCGCAAACCCGATGTAATAAAGTATTGAATGCGAACCATTGTGAAGCGGAATGCCAGGCTCCCTTCGCTGTCTTCCTGACCTGCGGCTCCCCTCTTCCCTTCGGTTCGCTTTAACCCTTTGTCTTTCCTCTCTCTCCTCCTCCCTTACCCTCTTAACCCCTTCTTTAAGGCCGCAGCCAACCCCATTACCTCCCTTTCTAACCTTTCAACCTCAAGGGCTCCTCCCCCTTCTCTCAGGGTCCTTCTACAGGGTCCTTCATCTAATTTCCTCCTCCTCCCCCCTTCTTCAAGTCCTAGCCAATCCTTTCACCTTTTGATCCAGCCCTCCTCCTACCCCCCCCCCCCTACCCCTGGCCCCAACCAAATCCTCCCTCCCCATGTCTCAGCCAATTCCTTCTCCCTATTCTTCCAACACCCGAGGAACCCCCCCCCCCCTCCCAATCTTCCCTCCTCCCCTTCATCTTGTTCCTTCCCTTTCCCTCCTCCTGCCCCGGGTCGAGGTCAGTCCCTCCAACACCCAGCTCACTTCCTTCCTTTTCCCTTCTCTTTCCTTTCCCTCCTCTTCCTTCCACCTCCTGGTACCCTCCCCTCCTCTTTCCCGTCACCTCTTGGCACCCTCCACTTGCCCCTTCTCTTCCCTCCACCTACCCCTTCCCTCCTCTTCCTTTTTTATCGCCTGTCGCCCTCCCCCAGGGACCCTGCCCTTCCCTCCCTTCCCCCCTCCTCTTCCTTCCACCCCCCAGTACCCTCCCTTCCCCGTCCTCTTCCCCTCCATCCCCAGTACCCTCCCTTCCCTCCTCTTCCTCTCCACCCCCAGTACCCTCCCTTCCTCTCTCTTCCTCTCCACCCCCAGTACCCTCCCTTCCCCCCTCTTCCCCTCCACACCCTGTACCCTCCCTTCCCTCTCCTCTTCCTCTCCACCCCCAGTACCCTCCCTCCCCCTCCTCTTCCCCTCCACCCAGCCCCTCCTCTTCCCTCCACCCCCCAGTACCCTCCCTACCCCCTCCTCTTCCCCTCCACACCCAGTACCCTCCCTTCCCCTCCTCTTCCACTCCACCCCCCAGTACCCTCCCTTCCCTCAACCCCCCAGTTCCCTCCCTTCCCCCTCCTCTTCCCCTCCACCCCCCAGTACCCTCCCTCCCCTCCACCTCCAGTACCCCCCTCTACCCCTGCCTCCGCCCAAACGCCAAGCATTGTCCAGCTCTTAGCCAATTTCACGAGCGACAACGGAAGCCTCCATTCACCTTGGCCTCCCTCCTCTTCCCTCCTCTCCTCCCTCCTCCTCTCCTCTTCCTGCCATTCTCCTCCGCCTGTTTCCTCCCTCCTCCTCCTCCTCTCCTCCCTCCTCCTCCCCCTCCACCTCTTCCCTCTCTACCCCTCGCCTCCCTTCCTCTATCCCACATTCCCCTTCCCACCTCTTCCCTCCTCTCTCCCCCTCCCTCTCTTCCCCCTCCCCTCCCTCCTCTTCCCTCCCCCCCTCCCCCTCCTCCTTCTCTTCTCCCTCCTCCCCCTCCCCTCTTCCTCCCTTCCCTCTCCCCACATTCACCCCTTTCCCACCTTTTCCCTCCCACTCTCCCCCTCCCTCCTCCCCCCACCCTCCCTTCCCCTCCCCCCCCCTCCCTCTCGCTCACACAAGGCCTTCACTCAATTGTTTCCGCGGAGGCCGTTCGTAGAAATTCGAATTTGATTAAAACGGCCTGCAAATCATCCGGGTCTTGGATCGCGAGGTGGGCGGGGCTGGAAGGCTGGGGGGGAGGGGTAGGGGAGGGGGTTAAGGGGGAGGGGTAAGGTGGGGGGGGGAGGGACAAGGTGGTGGGTGGGGGGGGTTGGTGTGGTGGGGTGGGGTGGGGGTTAAGGGGGAGGGACAAGTGGTGGGTGGGTGGGGGGTTAAGGGGAGGGGTAAGGTGGTGGGCGGGGGTGGGGGGTTGGGGGAGGGGCAAGGTGGTGGCGGGGGGGGTTAAGGGGGAGGGGGTGGTGGGCGGGGGTGGGGGGTTAAGGGAGGGGGTAAGGTGGTGGGGGGGGTGGGGGGGTTAAGGGGGGAGGGGTAAGGTGGTGGGGGGTGGGTGGGGGTTAAGGGGAGGACAAGGTGGTGGGCGGGTGGGGGGTTAAGGGGGAGGGGCAAGGTGGTGGGCGGGTGGGGGGTTAAGGGGGAGGGGGAGGTGGTGGGTGGGGTGGGGGGTTATGGGGAGGGACAAGGTGGTTGGCGGAGGGGGTTAAAGGTGAGGGGTAAGGTGGTGGGCGGGGGGTGGGTTAAGGGGGGGCGGGGGTTAAGGGGGAGGGACAAGGTGGTGGGTGGGGTGGGGGGTTAAGGGGGAAGGGTTAAGGGGGAGGGGCAAGGTGGTGGGCGGGTGGGGGGGAGGGGAGGGACAAGGTGGTGGGTGGGTTTAAGGGGGAGGGGGCAAGGTGGTGGGGGGTGGGGGGAGGGGGAGGGGCAAGGTGGTGGGCGGGGTTAAAGGGGGAGGGGGTAAGGTGGTGGGGGGTGGGAGGGTTAAGGTGGTGGGCGGGGGGGGGTGTTAAAGGGGGGGGGGCAATGGTGGGCGTAAGGGGGAGGGGGTAAGGTGGTGGGCGGGTGGTGTGGTTGGGGGGGAGTTATGGTCATTGATTGGGCAGTTGGCGTCGTTATTAATGGTCTTGATCTCTGGATCTTCAGGGACGTGTGTTGGGCCCCTGCGGGGACTGGACGCTGGCTTAGGTCTGTGATTATGCAGCACACATATATGCACATCACCACCCACACACACACACACACACACACACACACACACACACACACAACACACACACACACACACACACACACACACACACACACACACACACACACACATACACACACACACACACACACACACACACACACACACACACACATATATATATATATATATATATATGTATATATATATATATTATATATTATATATATATATATATTATATATATATACACACTATATATACATATATACTATATATATATATATATATATATATATATATATATATAATATATATATATATATATATATATATATATATATATATAATATATATATATATATATATATATATATATATATATATATTATATATATATATATATATATATATATATATATATATATGTATGTATGTGTGTGTGTGTGTATGTGTGTGTGTGTGTGTGTGTGTGTGTGTGTGTGTGTGTGTGTGTGTGTGTGTGTGTGTGTGTGTGTGTGTGTGTGTGTATCTATCTATCTATCTATATACATATGAGAGAGAGAGAGGAGAGAGAAGAGAGAAGAGAGAGAGAGAGAGAGAGAGAGAGAGAGAGAGAGAGAGAGAGAGAGAGAGAACCACTTTGTACCCTTCATATGTGTAATATACGAGCTCATGTCTTAATGATGTTCAAAGTGACTTAGAAATTATAGATATGACTTTTTATAATAAATCACCGTTTCATCCGCAATGGTGAAGACACATTAACAGATGACGCTGCATTTAGACAAATCTTTTAATTCATAGACTGGAAATCTAAGGAAGGAAACCTTAACCCATAAATTGCACGCAATACGCCATGCAATGAATGAAAACTTACCTGTAGAAACAAAAGATGGCGTAGACGAGACAGCGGGCGACACGGGGTAAGACCTTCCTCTAGAACCGTCCTTTTTCTTCTGTTTCTTCTTTGGGCGTCTCCTCCTCAAATCCTCCTGTGGTTGTTTATTTTCTGCAGGTGTTGTGGTCGTCTTGTGATATTCTTCCGCCGTCCCGAACAGCTCCTCCTCCGCCCTCTCAACCGCTCCAGCCACCTCCTCCGCCGCGGAAAGTAGGGCGTCTCCCAAGCCTCTTTCGAATCCTTCATCTTCGGCTTCGTCTTCGGCTAAGGAAATGGGAGATAGCGTCGACGATGTATTCGCACCTCCCTCGCTGTACCAACACTGCTCTCCTTGCTGTACGGACACCAACTTCTCGAGACTCAGTCCGAGCGCTTCGAACGAATCCCGACACGTGGACAGCGTTGCGTTCGAAGCTTCGGGACTCCGAGACAAAATGGAGTAAATCTCTGCCTTGAGACCCAAGAAGTCGAAGCAGGAGTAGACGCAAGCGAACGCGTCGTAGTCTATGTCGACGATGTGGTAAGGAACTGGAGGAACTGGGAGTGAGAAAGAAAAAAAGTATATTAATACAAGGAGTGAGATAGAAATGGAGAATGGGAGTGAGAAAAAAAAAGTATATTATACAAGGAGTGAGAGAGAAATTTGGAGTGAGAAAGAAAAAAAAAGTATATTATACGTGAGAAAAAAAAATATATTATTACAAGGAGTTAGAGAGAAATTGGAAGAAGTGGGAGTGAGAAAGAAAAAGAAAGATACGAAATGGAGGAACTGGATAAGAAAAAAAGTATATAATACAAGGAGTGAGAGAGAAATTGGAGGAACTGGGATTGAGAAAGAAAAAAGTATATTAATACAGAGTGAGAAAGAAAAAGTATATTAATAAAGGAGTGAGAGAGAAATGGAGGAACTGGAGTGAGAAAGAAAAAAAGTATATTAATACAAGGAGTGAGAGAGAAATTGGAGGAACTGGGAGTGAGAGAAAAAAGTAAAATAATTAAATAAGGAGTGAGAGAGAAATTGGAGGAACTGGGAGTGAGAAAGAAAAAAAAGTATATAATACAAGGAGTGAGAGAGAATGGAGGAACTGGGTGAGAAAGAAAAAAAAGTATATTAATACAAGGAGAGAGAAATTGGAGGAACTGGGAGTGAGAAAGAAAAAAAGTATATTAATACAAGGAGTGAGAGAGAAATTGGAGGAACTGGGATTGAGAAAGAAAAAAAGTATATTAATACAAGGAGTGAGAGAGAAATTGGAGGAACTGGGATTGAGAAAAAAAAAGTATATTAATACAAGGAGTGAGAGAGAAATTGGAGAACTGGGATGAGAAAGAAAAAAAGTATATTTAATACAAGAGTGAGAGAGAATTGGAGGAACTGGGAGTGAGAAGAAAAAAAGTATATTAATACAAGGAGTGAGAGAGAATTGGAGGAATTGAGAAGAGGAGAGAAAATTGGAGGAACTGGGAGTGAGAAGAAAAAAGTATATTAATACAAGGAGTGAGAGAAATTGGAGACTGGGATTGAGAAGAAAAAAAGTATATTAATACAAGGAGTGAGAGAGAAATTGGAGGAACTGGGAGTGAGAAAGAAAAAAAAAGTATATTAATACAAGGAGTGAGAGAGAAATTGGAGGAACTGGGAGTGAGAAAGAAAAAAAAGTATATTAATACAAGAGTGAGAGAGAAATTGGAGGAACTGGAGTGAGAAAGAAAAAAAAGTATATTAATACAAGGAGGAGAGAGAAATTGAGGAACTGGGATGAGAAAGAAAAAAAAGTATATTAATACAAGGAGTGAGAGAGAAATTGGAGGACTGGGAGTGAGAAAGAAAAAAAAAGTATATTAATTGAGAGAGAAATTGGAGGAACTGGGAGTGAGAAAGAAAAAAAGTATATTAATACAAGGAGTGAGAGAGAAATTGGAGGAACTGGGAGTGGAAAGAAAAAAAAGTATATTAATACAAGGAGTGAGAGAGAAATTGGAGGAACTGGGAGTGAGAAAGAAAAAAGTATATTAATACAAGGAGTGAGAGAGAAATTGGAGGAACTGGAATGAGAAAGAAAAAAAGTATATTAATACAAGGAGTGGAGAGAGAATGGAGGAACTGGGAGTGAGAAAAAAAAAATATTAATACAAGGAGTGAGAGAGAAATTGGAGGAACTGGGAGTGAGAAAGAAAAAAAGTATATTAATACAAGGAGTGAGAGAGAAATTGGAGGAACTGGGATTGAGAAAGAAAAAAAGTATATTAATAAGGAGTGAGAGAGAAATTGGAGGAACTGGGAGTGAGAAAAAAAGTATATTAATACAAGGAGTGAGAGAGAATTGAGGAACTGGAGTGAGAAAAGAAAAAATATTAATACAAGGAGTGAGAGAGAATTGGAGAACTGGGAGTGAGAAAAAAAGTATATTAATACAAGGAGTGAGAGAGAAATTGGAGAACTGGGAGTGAGAAAAAAAGAATATTAATACAAGGAGTGAGGAGAAATTGGAGGAACTGGGAATGAGAGAAAAAAGTATATTAATACAAGGAGTGAGAGAGAATTGGAGGAACTGGGAGTGAGAAAAAAAAAAAATATATTAATACAAGGAGTGAGAGAGAAATTGGAGGAACTGGGAGTGAGAAAGAAAAAAAGGGAGGAGAGAGAATTAACTTGAGAAAAAAAGTATATTAATACAAGGAGTGAGAGAGAAATTGGAGGAACTGGGATTGAGAAAGAAAAAAAGTATATTAATACAAGGAGTGAGAGAGAAATTGGAGGACTGGAGTGAGAAAGAAAAAAAAGTATATTAATACAGGAGTGAGAGAAATTGGAGGAACTGGGAGTTGTGAAAAAAAAAGTATATTATACAAGGAGTGAGAGAGAAATTGGAGGAACTGGGAGTGAGAAAGAAAAAAAGTATATTAATACAAGGAGTGAGAGAGAAATTGAGGAACTGGGAGTGAGAAAAAAAAATATTAATACAAGGAGTGAGAGAGAAATTGGAGAATGGGAGTGAGAAAGAAAAAAAGTATATTAATACAAGGAGTGAGAGAAATTGGAGGAACTGGGATGAGAAAGAAAAAAAGTATATTAATACAGGAGTGAGAGAGAAATTGGAGGAACTGGAGATGAGAAAAAAAAAAGTATATTATACAAGGAGTGAGAGAGAAATTGGAAGAAGTGGAGTGAGAAGAAAAAGAGTACAAGGAGTGAGAGAGAATTGGAGGAACTGGGAGTGAGAAAGAAAAAAAGTATATTAATACAAGGAGTGAGAGAGAAATTGGAGGAACTGGGAGTGAGAAAGAAAAGAAAGTATATTAATACAAGGAGTGAGAGAGAAGATTGGAGGAACTGGGAGTGAGAAGAAAAAAAAAGTATATTAATACAAGAGTGAGAGAGAATTGGAGAACTGGAGTGAGAAAGAGAAAAAAAAGTATATTAATACAAGGAGTGAGAGAGAAAATGGAGGAACTGGGAGTGAGAAAGAAAAAAAAGTATATTAATACAAGGAGTGGAGAGAATTGGAGGAACTGGGAGTGAGAAAGAAAAAAAAGTATATTATACAAGGGTGGAGAGAGAAATTGGAGGAACTGGAGTGAGAAAGAAAAAAAATGTATATTAATACAAGGAGTGAGAGAGAAATTGAGGAACTGGGAGTGAGAAGAGAAAAAAAGTATATTAATACAAGGAGTGAAGAGAAATTGGAGGAACTGGAGTGAGAAAGAAAAAAAGTATATTAATACAAGGAGTGAGAGAGAAATTGGAGGAACTGGAGTGAGAAAAAAAAAAGTATATTAATACAAAAAAGAATACAAGGAGTGAGAGAGAAATTGGAGGAACTGGAGTGAGAAGAAAAAAAAGTATATTAATACAAGGAGTGAGAGAGAAATTGGAGGAACTGGGAGTGAGAAAGAAAAAAAGTATATTAATACAAGGAGTGAGAGAGAAATTGGAGGAACTGGGAGTGAGAAAGAAAAAAGTATATTAATACAAGGAGTGAGAGAGAATTGAGGAACTGGGAGTGAGAAAGAAAAAAAAGTATATTAATACAAGGAGTGAGAGAGAAATTGAAGTGAGAAAGAAAAAAAAAAGTATATTACAAGGAGTGAGAGAGAATTTGAGGAACTGGGAGTGAGAAAAAAAAAAGTATATTAATACAAGGAGTGAGAGAGAAATTGGAGGAACTGGGAGTGAGAAGAAAAAAAAAAGTATATTAATACAAGGAGTGAGAGAGAAATTGGAGGAACTGGGAGTGAGAAAGAAAAAAAGTATATTATACAGGAGTGAGAGAGAAATTGGAGGAACTGGGAGTGAGAAAGAAAAAAAGTATATTAATACAAGGAGTGAGAGAGAATTGGAGGAACTGGGAGTGAGAAAGAAAAAAAAAGTATATTAATACAAGGAGTGAGAGAGAAATTGAGGAACTGGAGTGAGAAAGAAAAAAAGTATATTAATACAGGAGTGAGAGAGAAATTGGAGAACTGGGAGTGAGAAAAGAAAAAAAAGTATATTAATACAAGGAGTGAGAGAGAAATTGAGAACTGGGAGTGAGAAAGAAAAAAAAGTATATTAATACAAGGAGTGAGAGAGAAATTGGAGGAACTGGGAGTGAGAAAGAAAAAAAATGTATATTAATACAAGGAGAGAGAAATTGGGAAGTGGAGTGAGAAAGAAAAAAAAGTATTTAATACAAGGAGTGAGAGAGAAATTGGAGGAAGTGGGAGTGAGAAGAAAAAAAAAGTATATTAATACAAGGAGTGAGAGAGAAATTGGAGGAAGTTGAGAAAGGACAAGGAGTGAGAGAAAAGAAAGTGAGAAAAAAAAGTATATTAATACAAGGAGTGAGAGAGAAATTGGAGGAACTGGGAGTGAGAAAGAAAAAAAAGTATATTAATACAAGGAGTGAGAGAGAAATTGGAGAACTGGGAGTGAGAAAGAAAAAAAAGTATATTAATACAAGGAGTGAGAGAGAATAGGAGGAACTGCGAGTGAGAAAAAAAAACATAGTAATACAGGGAGAGTGAGAAAGAAAAAAAATATATTAATTCAAGGAGTGAGAGAGAAATTGGTATGAGGAGAGGATGAGGAAAGCATAGAATTAAGGACACGGATAGAGACTGAGAGTCAGGATCAGGGAT